ATGTGCCGGTACCGCTACGTGTTTCGTAGTGCAATATTAGCCTATGCATTTCAAGCCCTAATTGAAAACAGTATAACATTCGTGGAGCACTCTTTTACCGTCACTGTGTCTGTACGAACTGGAGGAGCCAGAAAGTAAGGGCATAGATATAGATATCTATTTATTCATCCGCTATTGGAAATTGTTCTTTTCCACTCTCAAAGAAAGAAAATTACATGATTTATCCGGAAAAAAGAAACTATCTATTAGGCCTACATGTCTATTGTTAAAGAGGCAAATTCCAGAATTGCGAAATTGAGAAGCCTTCCAATGCTAAGTGTGATGCCTCTGTTTATTCGTAAAATAAATAGGCCCAAGTGCTTATTGTAGCTTAATGATTAGTTTTGTCTTATTCCGTAATCAAACTTGATTAACAATTTACCTATCATAAAAAAAACTTAATTAAATAGGCCTTTCAGATAAAATGTCTTATAAGCATATTTATAATAAGTGTATTTAAAGTTTAATCAAGATAATAATATGTATAGTAGCTACCCTAAATGAAATAAATAAGTAAATAATCTACAATTATACACCTGAATCAAGGGGCTGAGTGGAGGCTCTGTCAGGGTCCCGGCATAAAGAAAAATCCATGTGTTCGCTTTGGGAGTTTTTTTTTTTTTTTTTTGGGTGTTGGGGGGGGGGGTTATACCACCATATATTAGAAATTGACAATCAAAATAACGTTATATGGATAGGCAAATTATCATTTTTGGTCCCGGACGATTTCGTCGAATAGACGCCCTGAGGCGTTTATTGTTGATAATGGTTTTTGAGGAGTTTATTCGAGGGAGGCGTTTATTCGATTCAGGCATTTATTTTTTTGTGTAAAATGGATACGTACTGTATATAGTCATACGCCCCTTAATTCCACTGTAATTAAAATGTAATTCTACTGTAGTAAAACATCAGTAGAAAGTGTTGGGAAGGATGTTTTCATTAGATCTGTTTACAGTGAATTCAATGAAAAAATATACGCCTCGGGGTGTTTTCGAAAGAGGCGTTTGATTCCAAATGTTTATATTATTCAGAGCGGAGCGTTTAGACGGGTACAAATACGGGAATGTAAGTATGGCTCCTCCCTGATCCACCCATCATGTTTTCAAAAGCATAGTATGCTGTACTTTTGTACGATGGTGACGGCAAATGATTCGGCAAACTGGGTTTCAGCAAACTGGGTTGTCATGATTTCGGTGAACTGGATTCGGCAAACTGGGTTTCCGCAAAAAGGCCATTAATTCGGCAATCACGGGTTTCGGCAAACTGGATTTTGACAAACTGGTCGGATACAGTTTCGGCCCCAGTGCTAGACCAATGAGAGGGTGGACGCTAATAATGGGTGAGCTCCGAGGTGTAGCCTGGTAGGGCACTACTGTCCTTGGCAGCAAATTCCCTTCAGATACGTTGGTTGTGCACCTGTCTCATAATATCCAAATTACGGTTTAAAGCAAGCGTGTATGTGAACTACCGGAACTGTGTCGTAGATAGGCCTACGTCGGCGCAAAAACATCTTCTGAAATATTGAATTTTGGAATTATAAGTAAGAAAACATACATATAGGTAAGTATAGAGACCATACTGTAGTTTTACAAGCCTGTATGCCTTCATGGTGTTAGATTTAATTTGCGGTATCCATTGTTGTGTTGTTGTTCAGGCCTACATTTTCAGAGTGGAGACTGCTCTAAAATTGAGTCCTTTTCATATACAATGGCGTTAAACCGGAATATCTGAGTGAAAATGTAACAACAGTAAAAAACAGAGCTAAAGATTTGTTGTATAATGACATACCGTATAGTCATGCACATGTTTTTGCAACCTACATTCAACACTGTAAATCTAAGTACTCTTTAAAAGTAGGCTAAGTGAAATCATTTTAATTAATTTATTAATGTGTAATATTATTTATATAGTGACTTAAAAACAATCAGTGGGTCGTCAAATGCGTTTTAATTTAAATACAGTAGGCCTATTATAACATAGCTATATATATAAATTCATACTCTTAATGTCGTTAATGTTCTCAAAATCATTGTCTGTATATACATTCTATAATTTTTCTATCTAAATCATTTTAATTAATTTAAGTGTAATATTATTTATATAGTGAGTTAAAAACTTTGATTTAAATAGGCCGATAACAATCGCATAAAAATACACATTCATGAAAATAGAATGCAGCATAATGTGGTCCTAATGCCGTTAATGTTCTCAAAATATTGGTTTATTTATACCATTTAATATTATTTCCTGCATTGTATTCGTTTTTCGATATATTTATCAAAATTGTTGTTTCTAAATATTCTATACTGAATATATATATATATATACATATATATACATATATATATACATATATATATATACATATATATAATATATATATATAATATATTAATTATAAGGCTTTTTTGTTTGTTTTTGGACATTGAAAACTTGGGTGGCCAGTGCCACCTGACTGTATATATATGTATATATATGTATATATATACATATATATATATATACAAATTAACTGATGATTGTTTAATTATATTACATATCTGGCAGGTATTAGATTACAGTTTATTGTTATTCAATGTTTATGTTAATGTTTTTAGCAAATAAAAAAGTTTGTGTGCATATGAGGTTAGCTGCCAATGATTACACTTTTTATTTTTTGTTGTGTTACAGTATGGCGACGCTCCATTTCACGAATTGTTGCAAAGTGACCATGAATACCAAGTTCACCAATACGGAACCTAAACCGTGTTACGCTAGGGCTGTGGAGCTGACCCGAGTCTATTGAACCAGGTAAATAATCCTATCCTATCCTATCATCTTATCTTGATTTGTATATCAAATCAGGATAGGATGTAGGAAAAATCTAAACCGTCTTTCGAAATGCTATATAAATAAATAGATAAATAATAATCTCAGATAGTAACATAAGAAGATGTAATGATTATACAAAATGGGGAGGGTTCACCTAAAACTCCGGATGCGTGAAGTGAAAAAGCAGGTTGGACCCCAGCTTTGTTATTATAGGATGATAAAGGGGTCCGATAGAGTATTGGTTAAAATGTTAAAATGTAATATTCGCTTTTAAGTTTTATTACAAACAAATTTAAAAAAATGTGTTTAGTACATTTTCGACTGTCTTAATATTTGGACCTTTTTAAATTTAGGGTGGGATGTTGGAGGCGCATTATAAATGCCCGTACCAGTACCAGTAACCACTCATATTAAAATAACACTTTATAAACATGTACACTTTACATACTGTATTGAATCAATCAAACAATCAATTTTATTTTCTGAATTTCTATTCCTATACATCATGAAAGAATGTCATAAAGTTTATAAAATGTGTTTTAATCTAATGAGATTTATACTTACTTAGGCCTAACTTAACATAGATGCCAAAATGAAAATAATTTGAATGTATTTCTCACTAGTTCAATCTTTTTTTTTTTTCAGTGTCTCAGGTCAAACCTACAGATCCATCAATAAGTGCGAAAGAGATGTACAATTATTGTCAGCGGAACGCGATGTGTAAACATTGCCGGAACACAAGATGCTATCAATAGCCGGACTTATGTGGTCTTAATTCTACAAATAATCGCGCGCGGATATTTATTAGGATTTATATCAATGGATCACCGGAATTGAATCAAATTTGCCATTTATATTTCTTATACAACGAACAAGTAATTCTCAAATGATATTACATACTTAAATATAATTAGACCTAAGCATTGTATATATTATATTATATCAAACTAGAATATTTATATTACGTTTATATAGTTTGATGTAACATTTCCGAGTATGTAAGAAGTAAAATTAAATTGTGTAATTTATAATACATCATTGTGCGTACTTCTTTTGTCGTAATTGCATTAATAATAATAATATATATTTCATGATTATTAATCAGTATATAATCGAATTAAATATATTATAATCACTTCGATTCGAATAAAGTACTATTACAGGCTTCTATATCTTATAAACACTCTTCCAAATATATTCACGTGACACCTACAAATTACAAATTACGAAACTTTTCAGAGCAAGGTGCTGTCGAATTTTACAAAACAGGAAATGACGTCGGTTGCTAGGCTACAGCTCATGCATATTCAGTAACACCTGTGCTCATTAGACTAACAATAAAAANNNNTTTAGCTCAGTTTTGACAAAATCGACCAAAAAGATTTTATTGTTAGTCTAATTAGAACAGGTGTTACTGAATATTCATGATTATGCATGAGCTTGTTGCTTAGCAACCACGTCATTTCCGGTTTTAAGTTTTTGGTGAGGATATTCTCAAAAGGATGTCGAATTTTACAAAACAGGAAATGACGTCGGTTGCTAGGCTACAGCTCATGCATATTCAGTAACACCTGTGCTCATTAGACTAACAATAAAAACTTTTAGCTCAGTTTTGACAAAATCGACCAAAAAGATTTTATTGTTGGTCTAATTAGAGCAGGTGTTACTGAATATTCATGATTATGCATGAGCTTGTTGCTTAGCAACCACGTCATTTCCGGTTTCATGGTTTTTGTTGAGGGCGTCCTCGAAATAATTGCTAGTTTACTAGATAAAGTAGGACATATTGACGAAGCAATTCTTCACTTTTGCTTCTTATAATAAGGATATTTTAGCAATTGAATTTATTAAGTAAATATAGACATTAAATAAGATGAGAAGGAATGCACAATTCCATTTGATATTTATTTTCAAGTATTTAAATTAATTTGTGATATATATATATATATATATATATATATATATATATAATATATTTATATATTGTAGGCCTATATCATGTACATCCAGCAAAAATCAATAAATCTGATTTGAATCTTCAAAATGTTGTATCTTATTATCTTATATGCCTATTCTTTACAACAAACGGGTTACTTTCTCTATTAATAAGATAAACATTAGCAGTAATAATACAATATTAATAAAACATACAAGAATTACTACATATTGCTAACATTATTTTTTAGATTATTGCAGAGAACTAGAAAAACATTTAAAAAATAAAATTTACACTATATTTTAATTAATTTCATATCCAGAATTTTTGCAGGAAGCTTGATGAGTGACACAATTTTTGGCTATCTATGAATAATTGGTTCTGTTGCCCTTTCACGATTGAGTCCGGACATTCTTCCCTGACAGTTGTGGCTTCTTTGTCTACATCACTGGAATAGAAAAATATTGAGAAAGGATTAGGAAACAGAGAAAGAATTATAACAGAGTATCATCAAATCATAATATATACCGTGAATAAAAACAGAGGCAGAGCCAGGTTTGGAATAGGAGGGGAGGGACTTTACAACCTGAGCCCCATCATGGTTGGGGCTGAGGTAAGACATTTTTCGATTATGGCACCTCTAGATGGCCAGAAATGACACTCTCAGATTTTAAATTTGAATGTAATTTTCTTTTTTCTCCAATATTTTACAATTTTAAAATATTTAGTGTGGGGGGGGGGCAGGCAGCCACCCCTCCCCCAGGGAGCAACCCAACCTGAACATTATCGTATTCAGTTATCGCAATGGAAAATGCTGCTGATATAACACTTGTATAACACTTGATATAACAATTGTACTTCACAATTCTTATATTATCTTATCTTATCTTATCTTATCATCTTATCTTATCATATTAAATATTAATTATGTATAGTATCATCATATCACGGAATGATGTGAGGATTATTAAATACATGGCATTGGGTATGACTAGTAGATCGCAATAGCGCAAACAAATTATGTTAGCATTCCCATTGTCATGGGTAAATAAAATTTTGTTTAAAGTGTACTATTCGATAGAAATGAATATATAGATTCATATTAAATACAGTATATTCAAACAATAAACATACTATAATCTTCATAAAAACTAAAATCTTATTATAAACATTTTCATGATATAATATTTTTTGATTGATTGATTGAATTTATTCGATGCTCAACATGCATAATCAAGATAACAAATGGATTGAGATCAAGAAAAATAAAAATTACCGTAATGAGCATCAGGAACGCCCATTAGGCCGGAGTCCAGCATATTTCCAATGAGGTCCAATTTAAATATACACTGTCTGCCTTGAGCTGAAAGATAAACAATTAATTCAATTCCATAACTGAATAATTAAGTAAGTTACAAACTTACAATTAAATATTTGAATGACAAAATGACAGACAGTTAAATATACCAGTACTATATTCTTATTTATACATAGACTCTTAAATTGGCTGGTAGTGTCGATTTAAGGATTTTGTAGTACAAACTTACAATTAAATATTTGAATGACAAAATGGTTTTCCCCTCAATTAACAGACAGTTAAATATACCAGTGCTATATTCTTATTTATACATAGACTCTTAAATTGGCTGGTAGTGTCGATTTAAGGATTTTGTAGTAAAATGTTCATAAAATCAGAAAAAAAAAAAGAAAAATGTCGATAGAGGGGTCAAACCATTCTGATCGGGGTCTAAAACAAGGAGATACCTAGAGCCTTGTTCAGGGTCCCGGAATAAAATCCCTGGGGTGAGGTTCATGGGGAGAAATCTTACAGCACACAACTAAAACTACAACTGGATTGACTATCAAAATAGGCCTATAGTTGTTTGGATCGGCAAATTAATGTCGTGGAATCGGACGAGGGAATTGATGTTAGTTATGGTAACTAGGACTACATGAGCAAGGCTAGTTGCCTTGCTCAAATAATAATGTTTAGTTTACAGCAACATGTGCTACTGGGGCCCAGACCCGGGATTTATCAATCTCAGCTTAGCAAATGTCTGAAGTCAAAAAAGTTAAGATGTCCCTAAAGCAAAAATTGTCTTAGATGGCGCATGCGTACAGGCGACTTTTTAATTTTAAGCATGAGCTAAGCAATATTAATGAATTTGACTTATGCCAAAAAAATGAACTTAAGACAATTTTAGCCGATTTACAGTTTGATAAATCTGGTCCTAGCATACCAACTTATGCGGAGTATTATTAGGACAGGCTGAGGTTATTTAATTTATTCCCTTTGGAGGTCAGAAGAAATGTTAGCCGTGTTTACTTTTAGCTAAATATTTCTCCTCTAAATACCCTACAAGTGTGGCTTATCCTTTTTTTAAAATCCCATGGACCCTTCTAATCAATAATAATAATAATAATAATAATAATAATAATAATAATAATAATAATAATTACATTATTTTAAAAAATCGGTTTTCATTAAAGCAGCTAAATTGTAGAAAACGTCCTCCTAGCGCCATTTTCTGTTTAAATGGTCTGCTGCCTTATCTTTTATTGAAAACTGGGAGCCCTCTTGTTAACATTTTTTTTTTTCAAATTGAGGTTTTGTTTTAGGCACTCTCCAAGTAATTTCATCCATTGCATATTATTCATATACGGTATATGTCGAATTGGTAATAAATAATAAATAAATGTATATCTGTGCACACATGGCCACATAGAGAAAGTAAGAGAGAGACGCTCAGCCATGTACGGCTCAGGTCTGGTTTTTAAAATGTATCTGTATTTCAAATGTATTGTAAATGTAAATAGGCCTATATTTCACATTTCGACCTTCTTTTCTTTTGGAGGGTCGCCATGAGTGTTTTTTTCTTAAACGGATACCGGCACTTTATAAATTTTCATTATTATTATTATTATTATTATTATTATTATTATCATTCTTATTATTATTATTATTATTATTAGGCCTATTATTATTATAATTAGGCCTATTATTATTAAAATAATAATTATTATTATTAGGCCTATTATTACAGTCCTATATAAAATGCTCAACTGCTCTGTATATTCAAAAAGGGGAAGTGTGCAACCGGCCACCGCCTAAATTATTAAATTCAATTTGTTTTTTTCAATCCAATTAACATTTATTCAATTAATTAATCAAAATACATAAATTAATAAAGTGGACAACATTAAAATTAATTAATTAGAATAAAAAATAGAAGCAAAGCTTGTCTCAATTAGACCCGACAAGACAAAAAGTAAAAAACTAATAATCATAAATGCATATCTAGTATATATACATATATTAATATTTATACACATATCACTTACAAAAATTAATTCGAAAATGGAGGGAAAAAATGAAAATTGCATTCATATTAAGTCGTTTCCGGCCATCTAGAGCATGGACCATTGAGGTGACATAATCATAAATCCATATGTGAAATTCCCCCCTGGATCCCCTCTATTTTTGTCGGGCTATAACAAATTTCAATTATTCAGGATTAAAGTTGTTTACCAGATAATTACCATATGGCTCTTGGTAATAAATTGCATATATTTTCAATGAAAAATGAGATACGAATCTACAATGTAAACAACGAACAGAAGTTAACAAGCCCCAAGCTGTAATTACTGTTAATTACTTTTTTTGGCCAGTTTCAGGTCTTTGGTGAATTTAGCGAGTCACTTGGAATGTATGTTGTTGAATAGAATGCAGCATGTCAGTGCATGATTCTGTCGAGGAAAATGTCAATGCCTTGAATAAGGCTGCCTAACAAACGTAGACAAAATAATAACCATAGAATGATGACAGAATTCCCATTTAACTAGTGAATTAACGATGCAAAATGTTCAATATTGTACTTACATTTGTTATTAATTGTAAAGTTTCCTTCGTAGTCTATTGTGTAATGTTTATATGTAAAACGCCACCTGGAGTGGTATAAAAACAATTCATTACAATATTCTTTTTCTAATGAGCCATTCCTTTATGACGATGAGGGTGATGATGACAATGATGATGATAATGATGTTGATGATGATGATGATAATAATAACAATAATAACAATAACAAAGATGTGTATAAGAGACAG